AAAAAATAGTAAAGGCTAAAAATCACCAAAGTAAGAAAATTCATTCCAGAAGCCAAAACGGCAATAATAGGGTACTTAAGGCCACACACGGCCCAAAACAAGTAAAAGCACGCAACGGTTCGAACAAAAACAAAGATAATAACTAAGTAAAAATACGCAAATCAGACAGAAAAAGATCAAACAAGTTCTTAGAAAGGCCACACACGGCCCAAAACAAGTGCATAGGTCAACAAATCGACCTCACAGACCGGCTTCAGGATCCGGAACGATGTCGGTGGCCGCCCCAACGGTATCCTTCTCAGCAGACGCAGGGTCGGACTCCAGATCAATAACCGGAAGATCCTCGACCGGAATGTCGGCCACGTCCTTCTCCCCATCCTTCACTCCTGAGGGGCCGGCCCCATCATCGTCTGCCAGCCTCGGATCTAATAGGGTAAAACCATCCTCATCATCGCCCAAGATGGGGAAGGACTCATAGTTCCTCAGCTTCTCCCCGTCGGACAGGCGCCGGTCGCTCGGATTTGGGCCAAAGTCTTGAAGACCGACAATGAGCCCTTCTGCCCAGCCCTGACGATGGCGCACCAGCTCCGCCTCGTCCTCGTCGACCTCGCAAATCATCCCCTCGAACTCGGCCTCCAGGCCGTGCTTGGCGATCTTCGCATTCATAATGGCCCGAAAATCATCTAAGGAGAGGAGCCCGTGATCAAGACGTTGGAAGAGCCAAAAGAGGTTGTAGGCGACCCCGGAATCCATGTCGGCCATCATCTCCTTCTGGAAGAGGTTCTGAACTTCCGGGTAGGTCAGCTGCGGGTGTAGAGCGGCCACATTAGCCTTAGCCCACTCCATCGCCTCCTCTCTGTGGGCGTCCATCTGATCGCCCAAGGTACGGACCCGGGCTCGAAGAGCCTCCATATCTTGATTGAAGACCTTGTCCTGCAGGGCCATTTCAAGAGCATGCTTCTTCTCCATAGACTCCCTCTCAAAAAGCCAGTCGGACCTCCCCCTTTCTAACTTCTCCTCGGCCACTCTCTTAGCCTCCACCAGCTCGGCCTCCCTCTCCTTAGCTTTCAGGGCCTCCCCACGAAGAACGATGAGCTCCTGCTCGAGCGGTCCGAACTCTTTGACCCGGTCTTTTAAGGATCGGACCCGGGTCTGGCTCAAGATCAGGTCGGCATCGGCCTTACGTTTCGCCGCTTCGAGCTCTCGCGTCTGGGCCGCAGCATGGACAAGCTCAACCATCGCACGGGCCATGGACGCAGCCGAGTGTTGGATAATCTGAGTAGTGGACATCTGATGGGTCGCCGCCTCCGCAGACGGGGTCCACGCGATCATGGGGAGACGAGCTGCCTGCATGGCGGCCTCGGGGAGACCATGCTCATTGTCAATCGGCGGAACGGCGGCAGCCTTGGCATCGATGAACCAGAGGTCGGGGAAGCCGGGGAGTTCCTTGAGAAAATGATCCCGAATTTCGGGGTCAACAGGCAGATATATCGACGGGACAGGAATGCCGCTGGAAGTTGTTGCATCCGGCACGAAGGACGAACCTCCCTCGTCCACCTTCTTCTTCTTCCTA